CGGTTGACAAGCACCACACTTTCTAACCACAAGATTTTGCTCTCGCTCGCCCGTTCCAATTAGGAAGCATGTTTTAAAAGCCAATGAGATCCTAAACGATACTTAAATCGCTCTCGCTGTTTTTAGGATTTATGCCTAGTTTCCACTATCTGGTTCATTCCTCACACTCTCACGCTATCGGATTAAACTTTTGTTTGTTCTTCACTCTCGTGTCAGAACAATAAATCATACAATTAGAAACTGAAACCAGAATAACATATAATCATAACTTCACACCTATAATTTTCTATTGAATCTCATCGGTAACAACAGACCTCATACGCCGGACTCAAGTAAATTTAGCAAGACATAATTATAATTAAAATTAACATGTTCAGAGCAATTGTGCGTAAAGTTAACATGTCAAGCAATATAATATTGACAATAGAAAGCATAAATAAATAAACGATAATAAACCTGAATTTAAAGAAACGAAGCTTGAGTTGATATGAAAATATTGGCAAACTTGTTTTTGATCCAAGAGTACAGTGAAAATAAAGATAAAACAAGTGTGACAATCCCTCGATATGAGGAATTGTCACTTTTACATGTAAATGTATGCCTAGAAATATGAAGCAATTTCGGCAGCGCTTCCGCACAACTTGGATACCGGAAAACCAACTTAGAAGGCCTATATATAGAGAAAAAGACCCTGCCAACCGCCTCTGGTCGTGGCTGGAATGAGGGAAATATTTGAATTCCCAAAACTGTCAAAAACTGCCTTCAGAAATGAGAAACTGCTCCTGCGACTGAATGGCGATCGCCATTGGGGCAATGGCGACGTCATTGCCTTGATTCATTAAAATATGTGGTGGGGGAATGGTGAACGCCATATCTGGCAGAACTGCATAATTTTGGCTTTTGCTGCACTTTAGCTCACTTTCCACTCTTTCTCTAATTTCTTCACATAAACGCTTCATAATCGACAAGTACCTGAAACACGAACAAAGCATGGTATAATACTACGAAAAATATAATAAAAATATACTCAATAGCATGTGAATCCGGTCTAAAAATATGATACATTTATGTGTTGTCAGACACCTACAAAATATCAAAATATCATATAATTTCGCAAGTTCATTATTTAAATTCAAATTCTGAACATATTCATCACCACAACAAAATAGTACATAATATAAATCAAAATAAAATTTGAAAAAAAAATCTAATTGCAACATAATCTTAATAACAAAATAACTAACAATGTCTCATTAATTTAATTCTAAAGAGGAAAAATTGTTCTAAATAAGTTTTAAACAAATTCTACTTAAATTTTAATTTTATTTTTTAAAATAAAATTATCAAAACAGCGTTGTTTTGTTTTAGAAAAATATGAGTTTTATTAGGTAAGCATACTTTCCATTTTTAACTTGAAGGTGTCATTTCTAATTTGAAGGAGTTGCGGGAGGTGAAATATTTAATAAGGTTATTGTTTCTAGTATGACACTTTTTGTGCTTTATATGTATGTATGGATTATCGATGGTTGGGTCGACGTGGCGACTATAAATTCATTGGAGCCATATGCAAGTAAACTTTAACAATTTTTTAATGCATCCTATGTTTTTCTAGTGTACCGTGCGAAAATACATTTATGCCCTTAGGTTTCAGAGATGCATCTTCAGATGCACTAAAATTTAACACATTGCTGATTAAGGCCCTGAATTAGTGTAAATAATTTATTGGAGATACATCTACGTAAACCTTACGTAGATGCATCGCCGAACTCACCCAACTTCAGTACATATATTGCCCATGATCAAATTTCACGCAAAATTATTCTGGAGATACATCTTAGGCATACTTACGTAGATGCATCTTCGGACGTTATTCATTCAAATACGTGTCAAAGCCCCACCCCTTTACTCATAATCTTTCAAAATAGATTTCTACAAACACTCACCAACCCCCATCATCTTAAACTCACTCATAACACATTCAATCTTCATAAAACATCAGTATTCAAACATCATTAAGCAACAAGAATCAACTTGAAGAGAGAAATTATAAGTTTGTTTTTAAGTTTATTGAGTTTTATGTGAAATTGTGTTGAAGTTGACTGTTAGGTTATGAAATCAATTTTTTTTAGTGTTTGATAGCTTATAACTATTGAAGAACGATTTAGTTAGGTAGTTTTTATTATCAATGAATTTTTTTTATGTTTTACGAGTATGTATTCCGATATTGATGGTGCTTGAAGTTGTAGGAATTTTCGGAGATACATCTCCAAAAAATTTCAACGTTTACCCAAAAACCGAAGATGCATCTTCGTAAGAAATCTGCTTGTTGTCTTTTTCCTTTTTTTGTACAGGAGTCATTGTGTAACACTTGTCTTGTCTATTTACAGTAGTTATGGCTGAAAAATAATCCAGATTGAGACACGGTAGGATTGCACAACATGCATCCGTTCAGAGGGAAACGAGTCAAACATCACAGTCTCCTTCTACCTCTAGACAGGTTGATGCGGATGCGGCGTCAGGTTATAGAGCTCATGTCTCTCCACCTTCTTCTTAGTCCTCACGTAGCAAGTGAGGGTCCCCTGCTCATGCCTCCCTGCCCCTATCTTCACGTAGATGTATGAGTTCACATATTCAGATACTTGAGGCAGGAGAGGCATCACGCCCCAAGAGACACCTGAGGCATCCCAGCCCCATGCCACACTGGTGGCACCTAAGGCATCACAGTCTCAGACAGCACATGAGGAATCACATACATCCTAGTCTCAGTCGACACCTAATGTATCACAGGCCTGGACAGATGAGGCCGCACATGCGGAACCTACGGGTTTTGGAGGAGGCCTGTCAGACTTATCATGTTGCCTCTTTACCCAGACCATGTTGTTAAATATATCTAGGACAAAGAGTTAAAATTTAGTAGGAATTATTTATTAAAACTTGTGTTTGTTTTATTATTAAATTTTGTTTGTTTGAAGTATTCTTATTAAACCTTGTATGCAAGAATGTGATCCGCTAAAAATCATCGATCATATGCGAAAGATCACTCGCCTAAAATTCCCCAATGAGTCATGGTTTCATGAAGTTTTACTACTATCAAAGTTGCGTGATTTGAGAAAGAATGGTTATACTACAGTTAATCATGGTATGATTAATTCTTTTGTAGCGAGATAGTATACGGAGACATCGTCATTTAATCTGCCACATGGTGAGATATATATCACACTAGACGATGTCGCGTATCTGTTGCATCTTCCAGTTAGGGGGAGATTTTTAGATCATAGGAGGTGTGACAAATAAGAGGCATTGAAGTTGATGATAGAATACTTAGGAGTTGACCCAAAGAGTTTCACGAAGGAGCTTGAAAACACCCATGGGACTCATGCTAAGTTTAGCTATTTGCAGAAGGTGTTTACTGATGAGATAGCAAGAGCACGACAGGCTGATGGTGATGTCGAGCAGGTAGGGCAACACAAAGTGTATTCTATGAGAGCATACTTTTTGTATTTGGTTGGCACTTCCATTTTTGTGGACAAGCATGCCACTTATGTTGATGTCATGTACCATCGGTACTTTGAGGACTTTGAGCAGATACATAAGTACAATTCAGGGGTCACTTGTTTGGTCTACTTGTACTCTAAGTTATTTGAAGGTTGTATGTGAAACACGTAGCAGGTGACAGACAGTATCATACTTTTGACAATAACATATTTTGGTCTTCTATTGCTTGTGTGTCATTGTTAATTATTGCAACACAGTTACTAACTAATGATTCTTATTTTCAGGCCTGGATCCTACAGTACTTCACAAGCATCTCTGATTGGTCACTTGAGTCAACTTATATTGGGGATAAGCCGCGTGTTTCTGCATTCGTCCCGCTCAGAGGAAACCAGATGACAGAGTCGTTTATAATGTATGTTGAGTGCTTGGTCTTTGAGGATATACACTTTCATACATACGTCGAGCACCATGAGACGATTCCCTTTGATGACATTGTCTTATACTCTGGATAGTTGGCTTGCGTGTCACGTTAGACGACTCCTCATCTGCCTGAGTGCGCCATGCGTCAATTCGGCTATATGTAGTATATTCCCAGAGATCCTTCTTTGTCAGCTTCTCCCACTGTGAAACATAGAGATATAAATGTTATGTTTGATGATTGTGTTAATCATCTGGTACTAGATGAGGCACAAAGTACCATAACACCAAAAGACGGGAGCTACGTAGACGGTTACATCTGATGGTTATTCCAGATGTCATATCCTTATATGGTACATGATGCTCCAAAAGATCCATTTAGGTCAGTTCATCAGGAGATACTAGAGGAGAAGGAGGTTATTGCAGATCATGCTCATGATGTCTTGCCTAGTTGTCATCGTGTCATAGAAATTAGGCAGACCGACCCATAGTTCGTCATCCGCGGTAGGTTATTGTATTTGTTTGTACTCTTTATACATTTTTGATTGTATTTTGTTTATCGACTTCAGTGTAACTTTTGGATTAATTTGTGTAATCTTGACTTATAACTTATATATGTTGTTTTATTCGTATCATTATTATAGTTGAATCTTAGAGTATCTTCTAACGTTATTTGATATGAGAATCATTTACGAAAGAACTTGGTTTACTGTCTATATAAAATACAGAGATACATCTCCAACTATTTTACGAAAATGTATCTCCAATATAAACTAATGTTAAAAAAATAATGTATCCAAAGATACACCTCCGAAAATTGATGGGCTTTTTGGAAATTACATTGTGTGTGTTTTAGGTATATTATACATAGGGTGCTTTAAAAAATCCACATAAACTTTTGCATCCAATTGCGATGATTCTGCAACCATTCCAGACCATTCATATTATATTCGTCGGTAAAAATAGTGTTAAATGAGAGTGTGTCCAGGCAAGTTTTGACTCTCAAAATGGACAATGAAATTCATTTCAGCTATTAGTAGCCTTTTGGTAATGTTGCACACAAACCCTAATAGCAAAGGTCACAATAAATGTTAAATTGTAACTTAAAATTTCAAATATATGGAACACATGAGGAAATTTTGCATAAATGCAGCAAGTCTGTTTTCTCAACCACCAATTTTCACTCCAATTATATAGAAGGAACATTCCCAAGGCATGTGAGGAAGATGATTCTGGAGTGTGCGTGGAAGAAAGATCTAAAGGCATCACCATGTTTGAGTAAACTTGTGTGTGTGGTTCTAACATTAGACTGGAGCACAGATCTGAACAAAACTTTGTATTTGTCAACACCCAGTGTATTCCACAAGTTACATAAAATCTACATAAATATCTAAGAGAGCAACTTTTGAACAAAAATCTCTTTACTGTTTACACGAGTATAATAAATAAACCACGAGGTTCGCTTATGATCCCTAAAATCTGGATCAAGTTCCAGAAAACAGGACTGCATCCCTAAGTTGGCATTGCAGCTCTTTCAAGTTGCAACATCTTCAATCAAATTTTTCCATCTACAATATTGAACAGAATGAAGATACTGACACTATTAAAAATAACCATGACGGTAGCACATCAAATAAGTGAATAACATAAGCATTACCACTATGTATACTGTGATTTAATAATAAGGATGTGAATACAAAAGAAATCATATCTCAATCAATACCTTCCAAAGACCATCATTGAGATAATGCAAGTTGTCGATCCCAATTCCCTTGTTGATTGCTTTTCTGAAACCATGAAAGTAGTGGAACTCCTTGAGTACAACAATAAATCAACAAAACTGAAACTAGGAAAACCATAATTTATCTCTATTTCCAGATTAGGCCTCTGATTGCGTTGAGGTTGTGGCTGATAATGAAAAATTTGCATAAAAATTTAATCCAATCTTCTATTGATTGTTCATCAATGCCAATGAGAGAGTAAAATGGTAAGAGCCAGAATTTCTAAAAGACTCCATTTATTCTGGAAAACATCCACATTAATTTCATTCAACAATCATGCCTAGACAAAACATGCGATGAGACAAGTTTCTTACATGTCTTTTGCTGACATTTTTGTAAATCCGATGGCAAGGGCATGCTGTTTTCCTTCAGCCATGATAGCCTGAAATCAGAAGAATACATGTTTTAATACAAACTAGAAAATTCTCACTTTTTGTGTGTTACAAACAATCTACAAAACATAAAGGAAGTACCACGGGACATTCTGCCCCCACTTCCTCATCCAAAACACCCCCAGGAGATGTAAGACCGGGACACATTATGTTTGCACCAGCCAAAACAAATCTTATTGCACCACGGTCAACTTGTAATTTCTTCATTATATCTGGATCTGGAAAATTAAAAACAATAGTATAGTTCACATGCAATATAAGGACAGACAGCAGAGCATAATATCTGTGAGCCTAAAAACTCTATCCATGTCTCATAAGTGCTTTTTGTCAAAGCATAGGGAAGGAAATGATAATTGGTAAGTTACTGACTACTCCCTACATTTTAAAAATGAGGATAGATGTGAATTGTAATGACCAAAGTGAGAAAATGGAACTTCCAACGCAATAGCAATGGTTTTTCCCCCCTTTCCCTCCAGCTCTATCTCCATATATCGAAGGTTCTCTATACTGTGGGTTAATAATAGTGCCAGCAAAACACATAATATTTTGATTAAAAGCTATGTTGATAATCCTAGATTGCATCGCGTAGCACCAACCTCCCTCCAAAAATGCTATAGCTGATAGAGGGATAGCCGCTATTGCAATGTCTAAAAATCAATGTACAAAATAAACATAAGCCATTTGATAGGACACCTAGACACTTGGGAATATTCTGGAAGAAAATGGGGCCAATGGGAGTTAGTTAGTGAGGTATCATGAGCCATATGTTGTGGTTGGTGAGAGGGAGTACTAGAAGTTGGATAGGGGGATGAGGAGAGTCATTGAGAAATATTGTTAGAGTTGGTTAGGAGCTTTGCTATAGGATAGGAGTCTTTGACTCTGATGGTTTATCATTTCCTTTATTTTTCCACCATTGTAGAGATCTTAAGCTCATCCACTCCCATTCATAATATATACACATTTGTTATCTTAATTTTCTGTGTTCTATCACCATCATACTTCATATCTAAAGAACCTAAAGCACGGAGCAATAAAAACTACAAAGAGCACAATCGAATTGATCAAAAAGTAGGAAGATCTTAACAATTATTTGTGAGCAAAAACATAACACAATGAAGAACATATCATTACTTGTTAAAGGTTTTGAATTGAGGTTTATACCCTTAAAAAAAAAAGTGGTTTAAAAAAGGATTTGAGGAATTTCCCTTGGCAGCCCTAACAGAAAACACAATAGCAGTCTAGTGCTGCAATTAGCGGCCGTAACAACTATTGGCGACGACGGCTCATAGGCCAAAAGTGCCGTTCTACGCATACCACCGCTATAATTCCAAACATTTCATGGATCCTACCACTTAAAAAACTATTAAGTAATATGAAGCTTACATTGATGGAGAAGTCGCAATGTAGGCATGTAAGGGCCATCGCGAACACTGAAAAACAAAGGCACATTGTTCACCACAACGAGATTGAGATGGTTCTGACTACAAGAACAAAAAAAAAAAAAAGAGCAAAAGTTAGCAGGCAAAAAAAAAAACTGAAAGCAACTAGAATGAGAATGACAAACAAACCATTTAGCAACTATAAGAGGGGATTTCTTGGGAAGTATATCATCCAAAACTGGTTCAAGTCCAGGGTACTGCATTGTAGTGAGTTAGGTTAAAAAAACGCACAGTTTGAAGAATAAAAAGGCAACCCAAAAAAGTGGCATTACCTCATCTGCAATACTTTGCCTTATTCTTCGTTGAACAGAAGCCTTGACTTGATTCTGTGCAGACACCTCTTCAGATGAAAATCTGAAAGAAAAAAAAAATTGGACGTGTGAATCTTAAGACACGCATTGAATAAACAATTACAGGGTGAAGCAACAAGATCATGAGCGTACTTTTTGAACATCTTAGGGTGCGATGAGTTGAAGGGGGTGATGATTTGGGAGAGAAAGTGAATCTGTGTCTCTTACTCTGAAAGGGTATAGAGAAAGAGATGCAAACGCAATGGTACAGTTCTTAAGGGTGTTTATGTATTTTAACCACTTTGGGCCTTCGCTTATTTACGCTTCCGGTTTTATCCTGCCAACCCCAACTCAGACCTGACACCCCACATAGGAGGAATGTTTTTACAAATAATGTTTTTTTTTTTTTTTACATTTTTTAAAATAATGTTTTTTTAGATTTTTAGAAAATTTGTAATTTTTTATCAGATTTTTGAAGATATTTATGAGTTTTTATTGGACTTTTTAGAGTTCTATAAGCTGAAAGATATTATGAGTTTTTATTGAATTTGAACTTTTTTAAATATATTATCAGATTTTTCAAAACTCAATGAATTTTTCAAAATACACTATTGGATTTTTCAAGACTCTAAATTTTAAGGGGATTTTTCAAAATACACACAACATGATTTTTCAAACTCAGTTTTTGCAAGATTTTCAAAAAGTTTATGAATTTTTACCAGATTTTTCAAGAAATCTACGAGTTTTTATCGGATTTTTCAAAAAACCTATGAGTTTCTATCAGATTTTTCAAAAAATCTATGAGTTTTTACCGGAGTTTTCAAATACACTGCCATATTTTTCAAAAAATCATGAGTTTTTATCGGATTTTTTTAAAAAAATATAATATTATACTGGATTTTTTGAAATTTTTGGTAGTGTTAATTTCGGTTTTTTGTCTATCAGAAATAAACTATCGGATTTTTTCAAAAATTCGAAAATTTACAAAACATAACTGATTTATAAAAAAAAATCCAGTATTAAATTCATTTATCTAAAAAATGGTAAAAATACATACCGGATTTTTTAGAATACACTACTGGATTTTTCAATTTATACCACATTTTTTGTTCACTCTTTTTTGGTTAAATTTTGACAAGGGTATTTTTGTCATTATAAAAATATGTGGGGTGTCAGGTCAAAATGGGGATGGCAGGATAAAATCTTTTTTCATTTATGGCACAAAGCCTATACTCTTTAGGAAAATTTTACCCCATACTTCTTCATTTATTCCCCTATCCTTACATTTTACTTTTTTTATCAAAATATTCTCATATAAATAGTTTATTTGTCTTATTTTTTCTTTTTCTCTCATTTACGTTTCTAGTGTTCTAATACAAAAAAAGTTGTATACTGAAATTCACTTGACAACTTATCTGATACACATTAAGCATACCGGAACACAACTAGTAAGTTATTCGATTTTTTAAACTCACCGAAACTCTTAGGAAAAGATATCGAATTCATGAAACATACATAAACTCCAACATAAAGTGTTTCAGTTTAGTGGAATATTGCACCGAAACTCTTTTTAAAAGTGTTCCAGTTAGACCTTTTTTTACATACTAGAAATCTTGTAAAAAGAACTCTCGTTTGATTTTTTTTAATTTTCTAATTGTGTTTTTGTATTTTGGCAGTGGCAAGAACACGAGGCATGGGCAGTCGGATTCCAGAGCGTGTTAGTTTAGGACGGGGCACTCGATCATCGTTGGTAGCGGAGGAAAAGCATATTGTTATATCTACGTTTGCACCACATCCGGTAGGATTTCCAGGAGGAGACGTACGATGTGTCTCTTCTGGTAAAGTACGACCATTTAGTGAGGCAACACCCCAAGTCTGTTCTTACAGTGGTGCTTATTATAAGCTAGAATGGATGCAGGTTCTATTCACACGACATTGAACTACTACTAGATGGGATTGTGCGATCATAACGTATATGATGATGCCAGTAGGTTCCACCATTTTATAAAAGAAGCTCTAATGTTGCACAATTATAACTTAAAGTTGTTATTTATAGTCTCAACATTTGACATATCACATATATTGTTCCTCAACATCTGCTTTAACTTCCAATGAGCATACTCAACCCTAAAATAAAATAAAAGTAAAAATCAAACCAACACATAAAAGAATACAAAGTAAAGATACTAATGAACATACCTATTAGTCGTGGTGTTACTCAAATGTAGCACTTAACTAATCCATACTCCAATAAATTTTTGTCTATGAGAAGTCAACCATGTGTATTTCACATAATCAATAAATTCACTACAGTGTACACATGCAGGCTCAAGTTGTTACAATTGTTGATCATGCTCAACCTCATCACTATCCCATACAACTCTCATCCATAATGTGTTTATCGCCTTTTTCATGTCATTCAACACATATTTCTTGGATTTTGAACCAACATATTTGTTTATGTGAAATCTACATAGCAAATTAATCGTCCT